GGATCATTAAAAAAGGGGGGAATCGTTATCCTCTGCCTATAGTTACATTGTTAGTTAAATTGCATTTGAATGCTTGATGCATCTAAGTACTGAGTCTAATCCTAAATACAAATAGGATTATTTTATTCACTGTTTATTCACTTAGTTCTTTTTAAAAATTATTTATTTATTTGTTTGTTTGATACAGGGTCTCTCTAATTTCAGACTCATAGTGGTGCTCCTATCTCATTCTCCCCCGCTCTAGGATTGCAGGCACGCATCACCACACCCAGTTCCAGGTCCAGCGTGGTGCACCCGAGGTTCTGGGGCCGGCCCAGGATGCTTGGGTCCTTAAATTTGCCAGGCAGGTGCTTACACTGCCAAGCTATGTCCCCAGCCCCTATTCACTTATTCCCAATTGTTTTATTTCTTTTATTCCTAGGGAAATGTTTTAAGTTTTAAACATTTTTCCCAATTTCCAAAGCTATGATTTTGTTTCATATAAGGTTTATATCAGGATCCCCTAAGAGAATGAAAAACTAATGTTTTAGGTAAGCAGCTTATGTTAGATTCATTCTTTCAGTCTACAAGCATTGACTCCATGTGGATTCCAACCAGTACCCACGCCTGGCATGTGAGTGGGACCTCCAGCCTGCGCTCCGGATCCTTATTCCAGCCAGCACCCAGGCCAGACGTGTGTGTAACTTCCTCCACCAGACAGGCCCAGTGTGGATCCCTGCAGCAGAACTCCCTGTAGAAAAGATAGAGGCAAGACCCACCTAGCTGATCCAGGAGGAGAACGTCTTGCCACAGTGGCACAGTGCGTTCACTTCAAGGGTTGCAGCAAGAAGAAGTGGAGTACTGCAGCCAGACCCAAGTCACACTCACCTGGACAAGTTTGAACTTGGTAGATCCGGACTTGGTAATAAAGTAATAAATGCGCCACAGCTTTACACCAAAGGTCAGAAGATAATGCCATACAAAATGACAAAGAGAAGGAGCAAAATGCATTGTCAGGCCCCAAGCACACCCAGAACAAATGCAGGAGACAGTAGCATAGAAGAAATTGGAAAGCTCACACCTGAAAGCTCTGAAATAATAGCATTGGAAGTAGAGAAACAACTGCAGAAAGGTATAGAAGAAATCAGATCAGAAATAATTTCTGAAGTTAAAAAAAGAAATGATAATTATAATGAAAGAAGTACTAAGTGCTTCTAAA